GCAGCAGCGTGGACAGGGCGGTTTGGGGGCCGTTTTGGGGTGTTAACCTGGTGCTCCCCAGGCCGGCGGGCAGCAGCGTGGAGGGTGGTTTGGGGGCAGTTTTGGGGTGTTAACCTCGTGCTCCCCAGGCCGGCGGGCAGCAGCGTGGACAGGGCAGTTTGGAGGGTGGTTTGGGGGCAGTTTGGGGTGTTAACCTCGTGCTCCCCAGGCCGGCGGGCAGCAGCGTGGACAGGGTGGTTTGGGGGCAGTTTTGGGGTGTTAACCTCGTGCTCCCCAGGCCGGCGGGCAGCAGCGTGGACAGCCTGCTCCGGCTGCGCGGGCGGCTGCTGCTGGACCACGAGGCCCTGTCGTGCCTCCTGGTGCTGCTCTTCGTGGACGAGCCCAAGCTGAACACGAGCCGCCTGCACCGGGTGCTGCGCAACCTGTGCTACCACGCGCCCACGCGGGGCTGGGTGGTGCGCAGCCTGCTCTCCATCCTGCAGCGCAGCAGCGAGAGCGAGCTGTGCCTCGAGACCCCCCGCGCGCCCCCCGGGCCGGGCCCCGGCGCCGAGGAGCGGCCGCGCGGCCGCGGCGCCCGCGGGACCCCCGGCTCGGCCGCGGAGCCGCGCGGGCTGGACCTGCTGCACCGCGTGGAGTCGCGCAGCTCCGGGCAGCTCTCCTGGCTCTCCGTGTCCATGGACGCGGCCCTGGGCTGCCGCACCAACATCTTCCAGATCCAGAGGGTGCCGGGCCGCAAGCACACGGAGAAACACGCGGCGGCCGCCGGCTCCGCCGTCCACATCCACCCCCAGGCCGCCCCCGTCGTGTGCCGGCACGTCCTCGACACCCTCATCCAGCTGGCCAAGGTGAGGGGGCCGGGGGGCACTGGGGGGCACTGGGAGTGCGTTGGGGGGTGGGCTGGGGCTCCTCGGTGGAACTGGGAGGGCCGGGGGGGATTTTGGAGGCCAGCGGGGCAGGTTTTGGGGGTCTGGGGCTTCTCCGTGGAACTGCGGGGGGAAATCGCGGGACATTGGATCCCGTCGTTGGGTTTCTGGGGTTCATTGGTGGTTCTGGGGAGCACTGGGACATTTGGGCGGTACCAGGGCATTTTAGGGGGTGGTTGGGGTCTCCTCAGTGGGACTGGGGGGGCTTTGAGGGGTGCTGAAGGAAGCTGGGGGGGCTCTGGGACACCTCATAGGGGAGCTGGAAGCCCCCTATCTGGGAGTGCTTGTGGGGGGCCCACCTGGGGAACTCCCCCAAATTGGGGGTCACAGTGGCAGCACACCTGGGGAACTCCCCCAAATTGGGGGTCACAGTGGCACAGGGAACATCACCTGGGGGGGGTCCCCAAAACCCGTTAGGGGCCCGTGGGTGGCTGAGGCCTCCTTGGGAGGGGAGGTGGGACTGAGGGGGTGCTGGTGGTGTCTGGGGGTCCCACAACCTCTGGGGTGTCACCGGCACCCCACTAACACCCCCCGCCCCCCCCAGGTCTTCCCCAGCCACTTCACCCAACAACGAGGCCGAGACCCGGCGACGACCGACCCGGAACGTGACCGCGGCCCCCCAAAATCGGGGGGCAGCCCTTGCCCCCCCCCGCCCCCCCCAGGTCTTCCCCAGCCACTTCACCCAACAACGAGGCCGAGACCCGGCGACGACCGACCCGGAACGTGACCGCGGCCCCCCAAAATCGGGGGGCAGCC